TACGTCTGCGAGGGCGTGCACGGTGGACTCGCGGGCGTCGTTCGGCGGCTGAAGAGCCGAGGCGTCGTCGTGTCGATGGATCCCAACTTCGACGTGCGCATTCCTCACACTGGTCCCCATACGACCGCGTCGGCGTGGTGAACGCCGATCCTTAAAGACTTTGCGCGTCATCTCTTTTCGCCCACACCTCGCTTTCAATCCCCACCCTCGACGCCTTTCAACTCCGACTGACGCCTTTCAACTCCACCCCGACATCATCTTCAAGGCGAACGGCGGCTGGACTAACCGCGCGATGAAGCTCGCGATCAAGGGGCCCTCCGCGGTGGACGTTCTGCTGCCTTCCGAGGTCGAGGCGTGCGAGATCACGGGGAAGCCCACCGCGGAGGAGGCGCTCGACGCGTTGCTCGGCGTCGCTGAGGGCGAGGGAGGAGGAAAAGGATCCCCCGACGGCGTCAAGCTCGTCGTCATCAAGCGCGGCGCCGCCGGCGTCCTCGCGGGCGACCGCGACGGCGGGCGGTGGAACGCGCCCGCGTGCACGGTGTCCAGGGTCGTGGACACGAACGGCGCGGGCGACGCGTTCAACGCCGGGTTTTTGCGGTCCTGGGCGTCCGGCGCCGGCGTGCCGCAGGCGCTCAACGTGGGGTGCGCGGCGGCGGCCATCGCCGCGCAGCACGCGGGCGCGGTTGGCGCGTGGGCGCCGTCGGCGGCGGCGGTGGACGCGTTGGCGGACGCCGAGTACGGGGATAAGCCGTGGTGGCAGCAAGGGTTGCTCGCGTGCATGGCGCCGAGGAAGTTGACGTGATGATGAGAGTGATGAAGTTGAAGTTAATTGATGTTAATCGATGCGAGTGTTATCATACGATGTGCGTGCCCGTACGTGATATCGTCCACACCGCGACGTCCGCGGCGTTCCCACCCGCCGCTCGACGATTTTTCATTTCTGTTCTGTTCGTCGTCTGGTCGTCGTGCCCTAAATAAATAAATAATCGACGCGAGATCTCGTCACTACTTCGCGCGGCGGCTGGCGCGCGCTTCTTCTCGCCCCCGACGCGAAGCGCTCGAACTCGACCGCGTTCACCATGGGCGAGCGCAAGGTTCTGAACAAGTACATCCCCCCGGACTTCGATCCGTCGAAGATCCCGCGGGGGAAGAAGAAGGAAGGGCGCGTGAACAACGCGATGAAGGTGCGGATGATGCTCCCGATGACCGTGTGCTGCAACACGTGCGGGAACTTCATCGTCAAGGGGACCAAGTTCAACTCGAGGAAGGAGGACGCGGTCGGGGAGGAGTACCTGGGGTTACAGATCTTCCGGTTCTTCTTTCGGTGTAATCGATGCTCGCAAGAGATCAGCATGAAGACGGATCCGAAGAACTCAGACTACGTCGTCGAGAGCGGCGCGTCGAGAAATTTCGAACCGTGGCGAGAGAAGGACGCGCTCGAGCAAGAGGCGGACGAAGAGCGCGAAGCCGAGGAAGAAGGCGACGCGATGAAAGCGCTGGAGAACCGAACCGCGGAGAGCAAGCGCGAGATGGACATCATGGCGGCTCTTGACGAGATGCGGTCGCTGTCGAACCGCCAGGCGAAAGTCTCGAGCGCGGATGCGCTCTCCGCGATTCACGCCAAGCTCGACGCGGAACGCGTCGCCGCGGAGGAAGCGGAGGAGGCGAAGGCGAGGGCGGTGTTCGAGGAGGCGCAGAGAGCGAGCGCGGGGTTCGTGCGGCGGTTGGAGTCGTCGAGCGACGATTCGGACGAGGACGGGAAAGGGAAAGGGCTTAAAGGGAGCGGAGGCGGCGCGAATAAAAAGCCGAAGACGGCGACGGCGGCGACGGGGCTCTTCGGCGGCGTCTTCGGCGGCGCGTCCGCGGTCGTCGCGAAGCCCAAGCCGAAGATGGTCGTCGTCAAGGCGAAGCCGAAGCCGAAGCCCGCGGCGGCGCCCGCGGCGGAGGAGAAGAAGGAGGATTCGGACTCGGGAGGGGGCGGGGGAGCGTTAGCGGGCTTGCTCGGCGCCTACGGAAGCGAGAGTCCGTCGTGACGACACATAGATCAACTACGCGATTAAATTACTACAGCGCGAGAACTCAACTCCAACTCCAACTATGCGCCATCTACGGAAGCGCCGCGAACGCGTCCAGCGCGGAGACGAGATCGTTCGGGTCGTACCCGACGTTCTTCAGCGCGCGCTTGTACTCTGTCGTGTACTTCGCGAGAAGGCCGAACCTCGCCAGCGCCGCCACGCGCGTCCCTTTGCGCCAGCTGTACGGATCCTCCCCCGACGACCGCCGCACGGTAAACATCGTCGCCTCGCACGCGTCCACGTCCATCCCGACGTAGCGTAGGTACCGATCCAGGGAAACCTCCGGCCCGTTGCTGACGCTCATGTCGTGCGCGGTTCTATTCGCGTCGCACGCGTAACTCTCGCCCCACCGCAGATATTTGAGCATCGCCGGCGTCGACCCGGCGCCGTACCTGTCCGTGACGCCGCCCCAGTTCTCGCCGTCGGGGATGTGCACCACGTTCGCGTCGCGCATCGCCACGGGATGACGCGGCGGTTTCAAATACACGTAGTCCGCGCGCGTGAGGATCATCTGCGAGAACTTCTCCGCCAGCCCGAGCGCTGCGATTTTTTCGAGCGCCATCAGACGCATCGACGCGATGATCGCCCCGGACCCCATGGGTTTCTCGCGTCGGCATCCCGTCCTGTGCGTCCTGTTCCCGCCCGCCGCGCGCGTCGCGTTCCACCCCCCTTTTACCTTCTTATTCCGTCCGCCGCCGCCGCTCGTGGCATCGCGGCACGCGTACCTCGGATTCCCGAGGATGCAGTCGTGCAATCCCCCCAACAACGCGAGCGACGGCTCCTTCGTCGCGTCGCAATAAAACTCTCTCCAGTTGTTCGCGACGGATTTATTGTACGGCCGCGACGTCGCCGGGTCGATCGTCCGCGAGCAGTCGACGGCGTCTATGTGCACCGACCAGTCGTCCGGTTCGTCGAAGCACCAGTCGTACGTCGCGAGGCGTTCGATGCGAGTCTTCGGCGAGGCGGCGGCGGTTTTTTTCGCGCACGGAAACACCGTCGCCACCGTCGCGTTGAACCGTCGGTACACGTGCGTTTCGAACGACTTCCACGCGATGTCGCCGCCGCGCGGTTGACCGATGATCAAGACCAACGTCGCGGGCGCCGCGGCGACGGCGACGGACCCATCTCCCCCGCGGGCGTCGGCCACGAGACCATCATTTTCCGCGCGACCGTCGTTTTCCTCGAGCGTCGCGCGTCTTTCGTTTTTCGTCTCGCGTCGTTCCTCGAGGACTTCGCCGCCGCCGGTCGCGGACCGACGACCGAACGCGAGGAACGCCGCGAGCGCGAGGACGAAGAGCAGCGCGCGCCGTTTCGTCGCGCGCGACCACCCGCCTCTCTGCTTGTTCGCCATCGCGTCGCGCCCGTCGGCGGCGCCGCGGTCTGATGCGCGAGTCTCGTAGTCTTCGCTCGTCTTCGCTAGTCTTCGCTAGTTGTAGTAGAGCTCTAACCCCATGCCGTCGTGGATCTCGTAGTCCTCCAGCGTGATGTGATCCTTGTAGATGTTGTACCACTTTTGTATCCTGAGCTTCTCCGGGCGCGTCCCCGTCTGCGCGGCGACGAGCTTCTTCAGGTCGCCGATCGTGTCGTCCTCGCTGCGGGTCGGAGGGAGGAGGGAGGATCGGATCAGTCGAGGAAATGAATGATTCGTCGAGCGACGAGCCGCCGCGCGCGAGCGAGCGATCGCGCGGGGAGGGGCGACGACGCGCGGGTCGCCGACGCACTTGCACTTGACGCGGATCTTCTTCCCGAGACGATCGTTCAGCACGACCTCGATCATGTGCGCGTGATCTCGGTGGACGGCGTCGCTCGGTCGCGAGAGGCGCGCGAGAGAGAGTGCCCGAATATTCAGGCGCGCTCGCGCTCGCGCTTCCAACGTCAACTCCAGAAAAATAAGCCGTTGGCGCCACAAAGCGACGCGCGCGATGACGACGCGACCGCTCGCGATGCTCCTGGCGCTCGCGCTGCTCGCGTGCTTCGGCACGCGTCACGCCACCGCGGCGTTCACGCAGTTCACGCCGACGAGCGCGTTCCCGAACAGGTGCGCGTCGCGTCGCGCGCGCGCGCTCGTCCCCGCGTCGAGACGGAAGAGATGAATGAGAAAAAAAACAGCTCACCGCGCGTCGTCCGTCCGTCCATCGCGCCCCGCTCACCTTCCCGCCGTCCGTCCGTCCATCCATCTCTCGCAGGTACGCGCGGAACTACTGCTCGCTCATCGCGTCCACGGCGACGGACACCGTGGGTGCCTCGTGCCAGATCGACTCCCAGTACGGCACCTCCCGCGGCGTCGTGTCGATGGCGTTCGGCGAGCAGGCGTGCACGGTCACGCTCACCGGGTGCGTCCCGGGGGTGTGCTACTCGTTCAGAGATCACACGAACACGGTGGAGAGGGACCAGGTGTCGCGGCCGACGGGCGGGAGCGGCCTGAGCGCGTCGCTGTTCAAGTCGATATCCGCCACGGGCGTGAGCGAGTACGCGCACACGAACGAGGGGTTCTCGTTCACGCCGAGCTCGTCCACGGTGGTCATATCTTACGAGACGCACTCGTGCTACGACTACTACTCGTACCGCGGGCGAACGGAGAAGCAGCAGTGCGGGGAGGCGATCGGCGCGATCACGGAGATCGACAGCGGGACGCCGTTCTCGCTGTCGTGCTGACGGCAGAAGAGGCGGGCATCGCGTGACCAGACTATCATATAGGTAGGAGTTAGACGCCGCGGCGAGTAAAAAGAATCGAGTCGCTTATTAATTAATTACGGTAGATCACGCTTGCGAGTACTTCGCCTTCATCGCGAGCATCTGCGCCGCGCGCTGCTGCTGCATCTCCGCCATCATCTGCCGCTGCGCCATCTGCCTCTCCTGCACGAGCTCCTTGAACCGCTCGACGGTGACGCCCTCCGCGGCGGCGGCCGCCGCGATCTGCTTCTCCTGCGCCGCCTTAAACTCCTCGAGGGTCATGCCGTTCCGCGCCGCGTGCTGCCGCATCATCTCCAGCTGCTGCTTCTCCTGCGCCTCCCGCAGCTGCTCCACCGTCATCCCGTTTCGCTCCGCCATCTTCTGCATCGCGTCCTGCTGCGCCGCCTCTTGGTTCGCGCGCATCTCCGCCTTGAGCTGGTCGACGGTCATCCCGTTCTCCGCCGCCGTCGCCGCCAGCTGCGCCTCGTGCCGCTGCATCATCGCCTCCATCTGCGCCCGCTGACGCGCGATCATCTCCTCCGGGGTCACCTGCGGCGGCTGCGCGCCGTGGCCGTGGCCGTGACCGTTGCCGCTGCCGTGGCCGGCGTCCGCCGCGGGCGCGTTCCCGCCGCGCGGGGCGCCGACGATGCGTCGCAAGCGATCGTCGAGCTCAGCCTGGTTCTTCGGCTTCTCCGACGCCGCGCCGTGGTCCGCGTGGCACTCCTTCCCGCCGTGCGAGTGCGAGTGCAGGCCGACGTCCGCGGGATCTATCGTTTTGTTCGCGGAGTCCCCGCCGCCGTGGTGCGCCTCGCACGGCTTGCCCCCGTGCGAGTGCCCGTGACCAGGGTTGGCGTTGTGCGATCGGTGCCACTGACAGCAATACGGTTTCAGCCACCGCGGGAGTCGCGATTTCGAATGCAGGTGCGTGTAGCTCCACCGCGGCGGCCCGTTCACCTCCCCGGCGTCGACCGCGTAGCACATCGCGTCCCAGTCGATCTTCCCTTGCGTCCCGCTCCAAAACTCGAACCAGTTGATCGCCCACCCGCGGTCGAACCGGTTAAAAAACTTTCGGTTCCCGCGCTTGTCCACGTCCGTCTCCGCGGAGAGCATGTGCTCGTACCGGTGCGCGTTCTCGAACTCGTTCACCGTCATGTTCCCCACGACGGCGAAGAACATCCGGCACGCGAGCGTGAAATCGTACGCGATCCCGGGGACTTGCGCCAGGAACAGCGCGAGCGCCCACGGACACTTCGAGACCACGTTCCCGAGCCCGTGGAACCACGGGCCAAAGCCGGAGAACGCCGCCCACGGCCCTCTGATCCCGTCGCTCGCGGGCCTCGGGAGCCCGCCGAGCCCGCCGCCTTCCTCGACCAACAGCGCGGCGCCGTACCCGTCCGTCTCGCCGTGCCACACGCCGTGAAGAAACTTCCACGATATGAATAGGAAAATCGCCTGGCCGACGTTCATCGTGATCAGCCCCAGGAAGAACTGCCGCTGGTTCCTCGCGCCGACGCACGTGCCGACGACCGGGCAGTGGTGATCCATCCTCGACACGCACCGCTTGCAGACGCGGCAGTGCTTCGACCGCAGCGGCCGCGCGGCGTGGCACGACTCGCAAAACTTCCCGACGTGCATGAGTTTTCCCATCGTGTCCTCGGGTGCGTTTTCGTCCCCCTCCACGTCGCCCTGCATCGACTCCTCGTCCCTCTTCAGCTTGTCCATCATCCGCGCCGCCCTCGAGACGCGTCGCATGCATCGCACCCACTCCTCGCGGTCGTCCGTCGCGGTCGCGATGTACCCGGGTCCTAACACGAGGCACGCGATGAATAAGCCCGGGGTCGCCACGAAACAAATCAGCTCGACGAGGCACGCCGTCGGATATCGCCACCAAAAAATCGGGACGTAGACGAACGCGAACTGCACGAGGGAGTAAAAGATCATCGCCTGTATCAGCGCGAACGACCCCAACCCGCCGACGTCGCCTTTCCTCTGCAACCCCGGCTCCGCGAGGTTCCGTATCGGGAACTGCGACGCGGCCGCGGCGAGCAGCAGCCACGGCCACACCCAGATCCACACGGGTAAAAAATACGCCCACGCCGCGGCGGCGCCGAGTACGCCGAACGGCAACATCACGTCCATTCGGTTCGCGTACGCCCTCGCGTGCATCTGCCACGACCCGCCCTCCGACCACTGCTCGTGCGTCACGTCGGACAGATACTGCGACGACTCGCCCGCGGTCGGCTCCGTCGGCAGCGGCGCGCACCCGGGCGTCCACGCGGGACCGGCTGCGAATTTTTCAAGCTCGTCGCGAATCTCTCGCAACGCGTCCATCTCCGTCCACAGGCGCTCCGGCGACCCCGCGCTCTCGATGATCTCGCGGTACCGCGCGTTCATGATGATGTCGTCCACGCCGCGACCGTTGTGGTTCGTCGCCGCCTTCAGGAACGCGCCCAGCGCGCCGGGCGTGGCTAGTATTTCCTGGAGCGCGGCGGACTTGCGAACAGTCTCCGCCAGCTTCGGGAACTTGTCGCACAGCACGCGCATGCGCTCGTTCGCGCCCACCGCGAGCGGCCCGCCGTCGACGGCGTCGCTCTCGTCCTGGTTCAGCGCGAAGAAGCGGTTCGCCTTGGCGTGCAGCTCCTCGAAGTTTTTCGGCGTGGACTGCTCGAACGCGCGCTCGGTCGGCTCGGCGCTCTCGGTCGCGGTCGCCGCCGCGGTCGCCGCGCCGACGACGCCCGCGCTCGTGAGATCGCGATCCGAGGAGGGCGCGTGCCCGCCTCCCGCGTCGTCCGCGCGCGTCGCGTCGTCGCCGTCGTCGCCGCCGTCGTCGCCGCCGCCGCCGCGGACGGATCTCGCGTACGCGAGCGCCTTCGCGGCGTCGGAGTCGCCCTTCTCCGGCGACCACGGCTCGTCGTCGTCCGCGTCGTCGTCGTCGCGTCCGCGTCCGCGCGTCGTCGTCGTCGTCGTCGAATCGCGGCGTCGATTCGAGACCGCGTCCTTCCGTCGCGCGGGAAGGAGCGGGATCCCGGCGGGGCCGTTCGCCATGATGCTAGCGTCCGCGCGCGGTCCCCCCGCCTCTGCCTCTGGTATCTATCGCGCGAGTTCGGACCGGCGACGCGCGGTGGAGTCGACGCGCGATCGCTCGTGTGCCGCGCGCGATCAGATCACAACGCACGCAATCGTATTTATTTTTTCCGGGCGCGACGACTTTTTTGCGAAGTCTCCCGCGCCGACCACCGCGGGGACGCCCCCATCGCGACGCGCGCGCGAGCACGCGCCGCGGGCGTTTCATGCTGACATCGCGCGCGGGCGCGTTCCCGCGAGGATCGAACGGACGCGCCGCGGCTCGCGGCTCATCTCTCGCGTCGCGCGAGACCGCGCGCGCGTGCGTCGCCGCCGCGGTCGCGTCCGTCGGCGTCGGCGCGGCGGCTTTATCCTTCCCGAGGCGTTCGCACGCGGCGTCGATGTCGTCGTCGTCGTCGTCGTCGTCGTCCGCGACGACCCGGGGAGCGCCTCGCGCGCGCGCGGCCGCGGCCGCACCCTCCGCCGGGGACCCGCCCGCGTCGATATGCGAAGTCTCCGCCGGCGGCGGCGACGTCCAGAGCGATGGCGCGAAGGCGCGCGGCGGCGGCGTCCTCGCGGCGTTGAACGAGAGTACCAAGTTCGTCGTCTCCGCGCTCGCGCTCGTCGCGCTCTTGCGCTACCCGAACGTCTCCACGTGCTGGTGCATCCTGGGCTCGGTCGTGAACTCGATCAACGGGAAGCTTCTGAAGAAGCTGCTGAACCACGAGCGACCGACGGGCGCGGTGAAGGCGGACCCGGGGATGCCGTCGTCGCACGCGACGTCGCTGTCGTATTTGTCCGTCTACGCCGCCGCCGCGATGCTGACGCACGGGGATAAGATGTCTCCCGTCTTGCCCGCGTGGGCGGTGGCCCCTACCGCGTGCGGCGTCGTCGGATGCGGGGTGTTCCTGACGTGGCTGCGCGTGCATCTCGGCTTCCACACGACGCCGCAGGTGGTCGTCGGGTACGCGTTGGGCGCGAGCACCGCGGTCGGGTGGCTCTGCGCGATGGAACGCGTCGTCGGACCGGCGCTGCGAGCGTCGCCGAAGCTCGTGGGGGGGTTGCGCGTCGCGCTGGCGGTCGCCGTAGGCGTGTTCGCGCTGTCGGCGATCCGGTGGGTGGACGAGGCGAGAGCGTATTTGACGAGAGAGAAGTCTCTGGGGGATAAGGCGGACTCTAGTCGTTTTTGAAAGCGTCCGTCCTTTCAATGCGTTCGAATAACTCGAGCTCGCGGCGATTTTCACCCCAGATTTGATCGACTTTCATCGCGCGTCCGTCATCCAGCTGTCAATGCATCTCGAAGGAAACAGAATATTATTTCCTGATTATTTCTGGCCGGATGCCGACCGCGCGCGGCGGAGAACGGCGCGCGCGACGCGAGAGGCGGCCTTCCGCGGCGAGGCGAGGCGACGCGACGCGCGCGGCGCGATGGTCGTCTTCGACGTCGTCGTGGAGATCCCCGGCGTGAGCGCGGCGGAGTACCTCAGAGAGAAGGCGAGCGAACCGTACAAGGCGTATCACCAGCGCGCGTGCGGGATCCTCGAACAACGTCGCCTCAGCGAGCGCGTCGGCGCGGACGGCCTCGTCACGACGGTGACGCGCACGGTACCGACGATTCACATCCCGTGGGCGCTGCGCCGCGCGATCCTCGGGAACAAGCGCGTCGAGTTCGTGGACACGAGGACGTGGGTCCACGGCGCGCACCTCACGCCGCCGTTCGAGCAGTCGTTCCACACGACGAACAACATCTCCGCGTCGTGCGTCGTCGACGGCACGATCACGGTCACGGACGCGGCGCCGTCGGCGTCGAACGCCGTCGGCGGCGGCGGCGTTAACGGCGGCGGCGCGCGCTGCGTCATCCGCGCGCGCGGGGAGTGCGTCGTCGCGGTGACCGGGCTGGGCACGCAGATCGAGCACGTCATCGTGAACAACCTGAAGCAGTCGTACGCGAGGCAGCCGGAGGTGATGACGCACTGGCTGCACATGAGACGCAACGGGATCGACCCAAACCTGGCGCCGATGCCGCCGCTTTCAACGCCGCCGGAGCCGGCTCCGTCGGCGTCGGATCCGGCGGCGTCGGAGCCGCCGGGGCGTCGGATCTCGCCCGCGGGGGGCGTCCGCTCGCCGCCGAAGGTCATCGGCGCGGGGGGGATCGGCGGCGGCGGCGTCCCCGCCCCCGCGGAGCTCCGTCTGCGTCACCACGGGAGCGACCACACCGCGGTGGACGTCGGCGGCGATTTCGGCGTCGGCGGCGTCGACGCCGACGTCGGCGCGTCGAAGCCGACGCCGTCGACGTCGCGTCGCGGCCGCGCGCTCGTGGGCTCGCGAGGCGCCGAGCGCGGGTTACTCAACCGCCGCGGGCGCGAACGCCTCCCGTCCGTCGACGTCGCGGACGTCGACGACGGGCGCGGGTGGGACGACAAGTACGACCACGGGCGGAGGAGCCCGCCGTCGCCGCTGTCGCCGCGTCACCGGTGGGTGTGGCGACGGATGGGGATGTCGAAGCTCACGTTTTTCGTCCTCCTCGGCGCCGCGTGCGCCTTCCTCTCGCTCGCGGCGGTGAGACTGCTTCCCATACGACCCCGTTCGCGTGGTGCACGCCGTTCCTTAAGGACTTTTCCCGTCGTCACTCTTCACCCGCGCTTCCCTTTCAACGTTTGAGCGGTAAGACGTTCGACTGACCGATCGCTTCACCCACGCAGTTGTTCGTGTCGCACCTCGCCGAGCGCGGCGCGGCGTCCACCGCGCCGAAGGTGACGCCGCCGAAGGTGACGGGCGGGTTCGCGGGCGCCGTCATCGGCGGCGCGTTCGGGGACGAGCTCGCGACGCGCACGAGGGAGCGCGTCGCGAGGATCGGGCGGGAGGAAATGGCGCGGCGCGCGGCGACGGCGGAGTCGAAGTCGGACGGGGGGTACCGGCGGCACGACGTCCGGAACGAATTCGAATTGCCGCCCGCGCCGGACGCGGGCGCAGTGAAGGCGCCGAGAGTCGCGGAGACGGCGGGGACGCGGGTGAGTGGACCGACGACGAGCGCGCCGACGAGGGGAGGGACGCGCGCGGCGGCGGCGGGGGCGGGGAGCGGGACGGCGGCGGCGGCGGCGGCGGCGACCGGACCGACCGGAACGACCGGAACGACCGGAACGACCGGACCGACCGGAACGACCGGAACGACGACGAGGTCGAAAACGCCGCCGACGACGACGACCGCGAACGCCGCGCTGACGCCGCCGAAGACCGCCGCGCGAAAGACGCATCCCCACGAGCCGTGCGCGGACGAGCGACGCGAAGAGTGCGAGCACTGGGCGTGCTTCGGCGAGTGCCTGAAGAACCCCAAGTTCATGCGAAAGAGCTGCCCGTGCGCGTGCGAGGCCGCCGCCAACGAGGCCGCCGCGGAGGTGGACAAGCGACGCGTCGCGTTCGAGGACCCCGCGGTCGCGTCGACCGCGACGTGGAAGGGCGTCGCGCTCGGCGTCGATTGGACCGACGTCCGGGGCGATCGCAGAGCGGCGCGCGTGCGCATCGTGTTGAACCGTACGGACGCGCCGACGGCGACCGCCGCGGTGCTGGACGCGGTGCGCGAGAGCGCGTGCGCGCCGGGGAAAATATGCGGCGGCGCGGCGTGCCACATCCACCGCGTCGAGCCGACGCACGGGCTCGTGCAGGGGAACCTGAAGGGGTTGGGGAAGGCTGGCGGGAAGTTTGGCGCGAGGACGGAGGGGACGCGGACGTGGACGAGAGGCACCGCGGGGTACATCCCGGGAGGGGATAACCTCCTGATCGCGACGAGCGATCACAAGGAGTGGGACCCGAGCTTCACCGCGTTCGGCGAGGTCGTGGACGAGGACATGGCGGTGCTGGACGAACTCCTGGATCTTCCCACGGAGCCGTTCGAGCACCCGGAGTTTAAGACGATCATGGCGATGCTGAAGACGAAGGTAAGGTTCACCTTGGAGGGCGCCGCGGACGTGTGATCAGTTGCGACGACTGAACGACGCGCGGATAGCGGAGGTCTAGGCGTAGGAGAGAGAAGGAGTAAGTAAGATTAGGCGATTCCGGGCGAAGCCGAGGGACGTGGGTCGGAGGAACGAGGTGAGGAGCCGGCCCGGGCCGTCCGGCCGGGCGAGGCGTCGCGTCGGAGTGATTTTTTTATTTGGCATGAGAACTCTCGGACGTCGCGTCAAAGCCACGACCGGACGCGAGGCCACTCCTCCGCCGCCTCCGCACGCCCCGCCCCGCCGCGGCGCGACCCCTCTTCCCTCTGGCGACATGCGCGCGACGGCGTCGGTCGCGTCGTCGCGAGGCGCGTCGCCGCTCGCCCCCGCGCTCGCGCCCGCGCGTCGGTCTCGCCGGCCCGCGACGACGACGACGACGACGACGACGCGTCGTCGTCGGCGCCTCCGTGCCCTCCCCCCGCGCGCGGTCGTCTTGCAGCACCACTCCGAGGACGACGGCGACGGCGACGTCAACACCGAAGACGTCACCGCGGTGGACGTACACAGACACCTCGCGTCGTCGACGTCGATCGCGGAGCTCACCGACCGCGACCGCGAAGCGCGCGCGCGCGCGCGCGCCCGCGTCGACGACGACGACCGCGGCGGCCTGAAGAGCTGCAACCGGAACTTAGCGCTCGAGATGGTCAGGGTCACCGAATCCGGCGCCGTCGCCGCCGCGCGATGGCTCGGGAAGGGCGAGAAGCGCGCCGCGGACGCCGCCGCGGTGGAGGCCATGAGCGACGCGCTGCAGCTCGTGCGCTTCGACGGCGTCGTCGTCGTCGGCGAAAAGGAAAAAGACGCCGCGCCTATACTCCGGAGAGGCGAACGCGTCGGGACGGGCGACGACCCGAGCGTCGACATCGCGATCGATCCGATCGAGGGGACGTCTCTCGTCGCGCACGGCCGAAACGGCGGCGCGATCAGCGTCATCGCGATCGCGGAGAGAGGCGCGATGTACGACCCCGGCGAGATTTTTTACTTCAACAAACTCGCCGTGGGGCCGCGGTGCGTCGACGTCGTCGACATCCGCAAATCGCCGACGCTGAACATCCACGCGATCGCCAAGGCGCTGAAGAAGTCCGTGGGCGACGTCACGTGCGTCGTCCTCGATCGACCACGGCACGAGGGCCTCATCGAAGAGATCAGACTCGCGGGCGCGCGCATCAAGCTCATCTCCGACGGCGACGTGGAAGCCGCCGTCGCGTGTTGCGATCCCGACAGCGGCGTCGACGCGCTTTTCGGCGTCGGCGGCACCCCCGAGGGCGTCATCGCTGCGGCCGCGATGCGATGCATGGGCGGCGCGATTCAAGCGGAGCTGTGGACGCGGAACACCGCGGACGCGGCGGCGATCGCGAAGTGCGGCGGCGACCTCGGGAAGGTTCTGCACACGAAGGATCTGTGCGGCGGGTCGGAGTGTTTCTTCGCCGCGACGGGCATCACCGACGGGAGCCTCCTGAAGGGCGTGCGGTTCACGAGCAAAGGACCGGTCTCGCACTCGATCGTGATGCGCGCGCCGAGCGGGACGGTGCGGGAGCTCACGACGCGGCATCACGCGCACGCGTGAGAATACTTCTTGTGAAGCGGACCGGACGCGGCGAGTTCACCCGAGCGACGAAGTCGCCCGGAAGAGGCGAGGCTCCCGACGGGAGGGAGGTTCGATTTGATTTGGATTTTGAGATAGAGCTACGCGTACACGTGTACGCAGTACATCGCGCGCGATCGAGAGCTAACGTCTACGAAAAAACCAACCCAGACGACGTCTACGTCCACGTCCACGTCTCGTCCGTCCGTCCGTCACTTCCCCGGCGCCTTCGGAAACGTTCTCCAGATCCGAATCGTCCCGTCCTCGCTCCCGCTCGAGTAACTCTCCCCGTCCGGCGCGAACCTCACGGAGTGCACCGGCCCGTGGTGCCCCTTCCCGACGTCCAGCTCCTTCGCGTCGGTCCCGGACATGTCGTGCACGTGCACCCACATATCCGTCCCGCCCGCGACGAACCTCTCGTGTTTGACGCACACCGACGCGCTCTCAACCTCGTACGGCATCGTCCACTTCTTCACCGGCGTGAACGTCATCGCGTCGAAGAACGTGACGTTCTTCCCGTCCGCGGTGGTGATGTACCGCCCGTTCTCGGTGATCTCGATGGACGTCACCGGCGTGTCCGTGCCCAACGTCGTGACGACGGTGTTGGTTCGGACGTCCCACAGGTTAGAGTCACCCGCACAAAAAAACAATCAGACACGCACACGCCCGAGTAGTTTGTCAAGTCATAACGCGAGCGATATAAGACGTGGGGAGCCCGACGCGGTAGATAAGAGGTGGAACGGTGTAATTTGAGTGATGCAGACGGAACAGACTGATGATCGAAGTTCTGGGCCCAGTCGATCCCGAGGGCGACGCAACCGGTGCGACGATTCATGTCAAGGTGGGAGAATTTGCAAGGCCTGTCATGCGTGTCATCGCGACGATCACCTCCGCAGACGTCATCGTGGCCTTTTATTCCTCCACGGAGAAGGGCGTTGCCGAGCGAACTCATCACCTCGACCGTTCAGCGTATTCAAGTGCTACGCGAAGACGTCACCGCGAAGCCTTTGAAGCGGGAACAAGTCCGTGACAGTCACCCCAAGACTTTCCGTTCGCGGCGGAAACGCACCTCTCCGCTGCGACCACGATCGCGCACACGCACGTCCGTAAGAGCGCGACCGCGGCGCGGCGACGCCGAGGGTTCGCTGCTCACGCGCCGCGTACCCATGACGACGCGACGGTGACGCCGTTGACAGGATCAAAACCGGTGTGAGGCCTCGCTCATGCGCGCCAGGGAAGTAGGAGCCAGTTTGCCTTTCCTTGGGGGTCAGTTTCGGTCGACAGCTGTCGCTCGATCTCGAGTCGCGCAAGTTGCGGAACGCTTTTTGTGCCGTCTCACGCGAGCGTCCATCAGCACTCCGCGCGCGCCACCCCACCGCACGCGCTGAGTAGAGATTCTCAAGGCAGCGAAGACTGGGACTCCGAAGGTGCGCACACGGCTTCAGAGCGCGTTTCGCTCGACACGCGCGCGCTCGTGTCCGGTTCGTTCCCTCGCTCGCGGAAAACAGCGATCGATCGCGTTTCTCCGCGACAGCGCACTTTTTATTCGCGCGAGATTACGGTTCGGCACGCGACGCACGGACGACTCCGGACTCGCTCGGGAACATCCACATCGCCCTCGCTCGCGCGTGTTTTGATTTCTGCCCGACGTGTTTCGGTCCCGCGACACGTTTTAGGCGTTTTTAACCGCTCGCGCGGGCTCGCGACGGGCGCAGTCCGGAGCCTTCCGCGAGTCCGGAACTTGAGAAACTTTTCTCCTCCTGCGTTCGTCCTCTCTCAGATCCTCGCTCCGCGACAAAGGACGACCGCGCGCGCGTCGCGGCGACGTGCACGACGAAGACGCGCACCTCGCGGACGTCAGCTTCCATTAGGACCTGTCCGTGGTCCGCGGACGACGCGGACGCGCGGGAACGCGCGCGCGGCGACCAAGTTGGCACCCTGTTCGAGTTCCCACACCTACCCGACGACACGCGATGTACGGCGAAGCACAGCCGCCGCTGGCGTCCGACGACGAACTGGAAGACGACCCGTTCGTCTTCGATTTGGACGACGAGAAGCTCGCCGAAGAATACGCGGCGGCTCTGCATGTCCCGTTCGTGGTGATCATGTCCGGCCACAACAGGCGCTGTTGCCTCGCCGCGGAAATCGGTGACAGCTGTGCGCCGCGTCTCGACGACATCAGGCGCGTGACGCCGCTCGAGGACGACAGCCGTGCGGCGCGTCTCGATGAGAAGTACCCCCAGTCGCAGGACCAGGATGTGACGTCGCGGGGCAGCTTCTCCTATACGAACGCCGACATGCTCCAGATGGGGTTCAAGAAAGTGAAGCGCCCCCCGGAGAAGGATCTGTTTCCGCCTGCGATGCCGGACTGCCTCCCGCCTGCGACGCCGGACGAGGAAGACGATGATCGCATGTCACTCTCCTATGGCATGGACGTCGACGATATCCCGCCTGTGGACTCCGCGGGCGTCGCGACGACCGCGCGAGGGAAAAGGCGCCGCGAGGACGCACCGAGCCCGGGTCAACGCTCGTCGGAGGCGCAGAGGCTCGACGCGCCCGCAGTGAAACCGGTGACGCGACCGAGTCGCACCACGAAGCCCATCGAGCGCTTCGGCTTCGACGACCACGCCACAGGGGCATCGCGCGCTATCCCCGCGAGCGCCGGCCGCGTCCCCGGCACGTCCGCACCGGGAGGTCTTGCAGCGTCCGCTCCGCGAGGTCGTGCAACGCCCGCGCCGCGAGGTCGTGCAACTCCTGCTCGCCGCGTCCCCGACGCGTCCGCGCCGCGAGGTCGTGCAGCGCCCGCGCCCGAGTCCGAGTCCGTCGAGGACGAAGAAGCCGCCAGGTTCAACGCCGGCATCATCTGTCGCGCGGTCGAGAGGCGTAACCACGACGACGGCCAGAGGGTGAAGGAGCAGCGCACGCCCGTGGACGTCAAACACAGAGCGGAAGAAGCCCTGGAGCTGGCCGCTGTCGTCGAAGCGGCGAGGGTCGTGAAGGAGAACGCCGATTTCGAAGCCGTGCGCAAGGCGACGCTCGAAGAGCGCGCAGAGTTCGATCTGAACCCGCCCAGCGAGGCCGCGTACTTGAAGCGCGTGAAACAGGAGCACAAGAAGGAGTGCGACGACGCGAGAGTCCGCGCCGAGGCTGGAGGGGCGGTCACGATGCCGCCACGGGAGGCATTGCAGATACTTTTCCACCTCATCAAAGGACATCTCGAACGTCTTCAAGTGCTCGCCATACCTTGGCGTGGGATCGCGATGGTCTCGCTGCAGTACAAGAGGCCGCTCCCGCGATGCTTCCCGGCGACGCAGCTCGCGCTCGTGATCCCCGCGATCGCGAATTTGTTGCGCGACTACCCCTGGATCGACACGCTCGCGGACATCGGGTACTTCACAGGCGCGATGTTCAGCGACGCTGGCATGGATTGCAGTGGTAATTTCGTGCTCGCGTCCACGAATCGCGAGTTCCCTTGGCGTCTGCGCGCGAACTTGCCCGGTCTTAACTGGAACGACGGTGGCGACCCGGACGACCGCGTCAGCGGGCGGTGGGACGCCGAGGGCGTGTACGTGCACACGACCAAGTGCTCAAACGGAACGCCGTCGGAGAAACACAGAGTCGTGTCACCGCCGCAGTCGTGGGTCCATGTATGGGATTGGTACCCGGAGATGCAGTGCCATCAGATGGGCTCGAAGCGGTTACCACGGTCGTATGTCGACGACCCGCTCGATCGCGAGTTCATGATGTCCGCGCTCACCGCCACGCCGGCGGCAATCGATGGGCTCGTGGTCGGCGACACCACCTGCGATGACACTAGAGTTCAGCACCATTTGAACGACTTCACCGTCCGCGAGCACGAGTTCATCAGCGAGTGGTTAGGACGCGTTTTTTGGCGCGACGGCACGACCGGTGAAATAATCCACGGCGGGTTCCCGGTCAGGAGGAGACACACTCGCAACGACGAGCACCTGCTCGAGATGTACTCTGATATCCTCGAGGAGAACGGGTACCTCGCGTTGCACAGCAGCACCGTGCGCACGCACCGGAACCGGCTCGTGGATCTCCTGCTGACTGCGCCGCGAGCGCTGGTTCTCGCCTACGCGCACAAGGTCGCGTGCGTAGAAGACATCGACTGGATGAAGCGGGCAGACGAGTGGAGAGCATCTGGGGCTTCGTACGACCACATCGTTCGCGAGCTGTACCTCATCCGCGTCTTCTCGTTCGAGGAAATCCAGGAAGCCGTCCAAAAGCACACGAAGATGCTGTTCGACCGACGATTCCTCTACGAGAAACTGGGTTCACTTGGCTTGGTCCGACCCGCGCATAGGACGTGCGAGAAGACCGGTAACGACGAACGCACGAAGCTGAACAGATGCAACGTGCGCGATGTGAACGTCGTCATCCAGAAAGTCCGCGAAGGCGGCAACGACGCGGTATCGTTCGGCGGGCTCGACGAGGGTGGCGAAGCGTCCATTCAGCATTGGCTGAAGTGGATCGCTCCGGTCTTCGAGCGGCAAGGGTACGTCATCGACCACAAGAGGTACCGCGCCATCGTCCCCAGCGGCATGATCGGCTCGAAGACGGACTGGACCGAGGAGGAGATTCGCGATCAGGAGTTGTTCGTCGTGCACTGCAAGACGTTCGAGAACAACATGCCGCCGCTCCTCGAGCTCCCCGGCGAGGCAGAGCATCGCGAGCACTTCAAGAACTGGATCAGCGCGCCCGAGAAGAGCGACTGCGCGAAGCTCGTGTCGCTTCCTTACTGGATCAGGGCGAGGCGCGACACCAACACCACCAAGTTGGGATTCCAGTGCACGCTTCCCGACGGGACGACGAAGTCGACGGTATTTCAAACCGTTAAACGGGCTCTGCGTTTCGTCCGTAGCGAGAAGTATCCCAACGAGTACGTTCAAGAAGCGCAGCAGCTGGGTTTGCGCGGCCAGTGAAATTCCCCGAAGAAAAGAGAGTAGAAAGAGAGTACCTAGCCAGACCAGCGACGATGTCGCGAGAGAACAACTTCTGACGGAACGGACGAAAGTGGGGACGGGGACGGAGACGGGGACGGAGACGGGGACGGGGAAAAGTGTTTTGTAATATGAAAGGGAGGGGAGAGCAAAGAAAAACCCTACCACACCCTGATCCCGGGGTCGTCCGCGCAGGAGGACACGATGAGCGTATCCTCCGCGGTGAACTGCGCGGTTCGGATCTGCGACGGCGAACCTTGCATCTCGTACGGCGGCGCGTCGATGTTCGCGAGGTCGTATATCCGCAGCAATTTCTCGCTCCCGCCCGTGAGGAGCTTCTGGCAGTCCTGCGAGAAGCACACGGACTTGACGATGTGCTTATGCGCGAAGCAGTGCAGCTCGTCTCCCGTGATCGCGTTCCACAGACGCGCGGAGAAGTCCGCGCTCGCGGTCGCGCCGTGCGTCGCCGGCGCGTTCAGCGTCGCCCCCCACACGCACCCCTTATGCCCCTCGAACGTGCCGATCCAGTCTCCCGTCTCGCCGTTCCGAAGCATCGGCTGGCCGTCTTTACTGCTCGAGATCAAGAACACGCCGTCGTCCGTGACGTTGCTGTACTCCAGGTTCACGATCGGTCGCGAGTGCCCGTGGCACACGAGCGGGGCCGCCATCGCGACCGCTAGCAGCTTGACCGCGTCGTCGTCTTCTGTCTCGCTCCGATCGTCCGCGCGCGCGCCACACGCGCGATCGGGTCTGACTCGCTCGCGGTGAAGAAGCGAGGACCACATCATCATCTTGATCTGTCGCGCGGAAAAACCCTACGCACGCAGCTGCGCTTCGATACCAGATCTACCAGAACGTCTCGCGAGCGTTTTTCTCGCGTCGCGTCACTTTTCTCGGACGGACGCGCGACGAACGCAACGACCCTCGTCCTCCGCGCGCGACGAACGCAACGACCCTCGTCCTCCGCGCGCGATGCAAGGCCCGCAGCCCGCGCAGCCCATCACGAACGAGCGCACGTTCCTGCTAATGCGCAAGGTGGAGGTCGACGATGACGCCGAGGCGGCGTACGAGCTCGGCATGGGCCACCACTTCGAGACGAACGACGCGCGACGACAGCAGTACCTCGCGCGCGCGGTGCACCTGGGCCACAAGCACGCGCAGGCCACCTGCGGCTCCATCGCGTACGCGCACGCGATGACGCTCGCGGAGGGCGACCCGAAGCGTCGCGAGACGTTCGAGATCGCGGTGAAGCACTTCGCGCAGGCGGCGAGGGACATGGACCACGACGACGCGACGCACGACCTCGGCGTGTGCCACCTCCACGGAAGAGGCGTCGAGAAGGACGAGGAAAAGGCGGAGGAGTTTTTCCGCCAAGCCGCGCTGAGGGGGCACGCGAACGCGCAGTACTGCGTCGCGATGCTCGTCGTCGGCAGGGACGCGCAGGAGGCGGCGCGCTGGTGCGCGAACGCCGCCGCGCAGAACCACGAGGGCGCGAAGGACTTTCTCGAGAAGATGGAGAAGCAATACGAGAAGGAGTCGATCCGAGACTGCATGGCCGGCTTCGAGAGCGGACGGATGAGCATGAACCAGAACATGCACATCGGGGGGTGATGGTCGACGCGCAAGATGGACCGAAACGAACGGACGAACACCGTGGAACCCGCACCAGAGGTGCGACGACGAGAGCGTCCAACGTAAACAAAACTTCTCTTCTTCGGATGAAAAAAAAAACACTCACGTCGCGGCGGCGGCAGCGGCGGCTTCCTCCTCCGCGCTCGCCACCTCCACCGCGCACTGTCTCAACTCCGCGACGACCTCGGGCATCTCCTCCTCCCAGTGCTTATCCTCCGCGATCTTCACGACGCCCCGCACGTGCATCCGCGCCTGCGACAGCTGACGCTTCGCGTCGTCGCCGCCGCCGCCGGTTTTATTCTTCGCAAACGCGCGCGCCACCCCTCGCGCCATGTCCACCGACGCGGCGGCGAACTCCGCGAACGCGGTCTGGTCCTTGCGCCACCCGGACGTGTCCAGCGCGCGAACGCGCTTGAGCCGCGCCTCCCCGGCGACGAGCGCGTCGCCCTTCGCCTCGTGGAGGTCCGCGCTGAGCGACCAAAGATCCGCCGTCTCCTTCACGCGAACGTCGGGGTGGAGTTGAAAGGCGTCAGAAGCGGAGTTGAAAGGCGTCGAGGGCGGGGATTGAAAGCGATGGACCCTGGGCGGAGAGATGCGCCGGGAAAAGTCCTCAAGGAACAGCGTTCACCACGCCGACGCGGTCGTATGGGGACCAGTGTGACATAGAACGCACCTTCACGCTCCGCTCGCCGGCGGACGACCCCCCGAGCGCGCGCTTCAGCACGTCCTCCACGGCTTGCTCTAAACGCGACGCCTCGCGCGCCGTGACCTCGCCCGCGTTCTCTTCCGCGGCGTTCGCTCTCGCGATCGCAGCCTCGGCCGCTTCCTTCTTCGTCTTCGCGCCGTCGCCGTCGTCGTCGTCGTCGTCGTCCGAGTCGGAGAAGAACGCGCCGAGCAAATCCGCGGCGGCGTCGCCCGCGTCTCCGCCGTCGTCCGCCCCCGGCGCGCGCACGCCCTCCCACGTGTCCGTCTCCATCGCGTCGTCGTCGTCGTCGTCGAGCTCCGCGATGGACCCGAGCGCGCGCTGCGCGGCGCGCGCTCTCTTCTCCTCCTCCTCCTCCGCGGCGGCTTCGGTTTGGATCCAGGACGCGTTTCCCGCGCGCGCTTCTTTGCATCGCTCGACGAGGGTCGATAACGTCGCGACGTGAAGCTTCGCGCCGCCGGTGAGGTCCATGACGCGAATCAGCGCGCGCGCGGACTGCTGAAACCTGCCAACCTTCGCCGCGCACATCGCGAGGTTCTCCCACGTCTGCCAGCTGTCGTGGGCTTGTTTCGTCGCCTCCTGTAACGCGACGTGCGCGGCGGCGAAGGATCCTTTCCTGATGTTCAACGCCGCGACGTTGTTCCACCCGCGGCCGTTCTCGGAGTCTTGCTGCGTGCATCGAACGAACGCGACGAGGGCTTCGTCCTCGCGCCCGGCTTTCAGGAGCGCGAACCCGGCGCTGAACCACCCGTCCGGGAACAGCGGGTTTAAACGCATCGCTCTCGACCAGTACTCCGCCGCGTCTTTCCAATCTTCTCGGACGCCCGCGCGGCGCGCGAGCGACCGCAACGCGCGCGCGGACTTGCCATCGCTCACTTCTAACGCTTTGTGGAAGTGCATTTCATCGTCCAGCGCGTCCCCGAGCGCGCACCACAGCTTCGGGTCGTCCTCGTCCTGCGCGAGCCGTCTTCGAATCGTATCCGCCGCGGCTTGTTTTTTCCCGAGAAGCGTGAGGCACACGATGAGCGAGTCCCACAGTTCGATCTCCTCGAACAGCTCCAGCGCGGCGCCGACCATCCCGAGCGCGACGAGCTGATCCCCGAGCTCTTTGCGCAAGCGCGCGCCCGGCGGGAACCACACGCTGTACGCGTACCGCATCCGCGCCGCCGCGGACGGCGCTTTCGCGTCTAAACCGCGGACTAAATCTTCCATGAGCAACAGCGCGCGTTCCCGCGTCCGCGGCCGCTCGCGCTCGTGCCGCGACGACAACACCGCCGCCGCGGCCCGCAACACCGGCCGCGACCGCATCTGCGACTGCACGCACTCGTGGTACGGCGCCATCTCCCACGACCGCGTCCCCGCGTCGGCTTGGGACTTGCGCACGGTCACCGCCGCGGCGAGTAAGATGGCTTGCGCGACAGCCGGGAGCGTCGCCTCGCTCGCGGCTGCCATTTCGTCGTCCGCCTCCGCGCCCCCCTCAGACGCGTTCCGTCTCGTCTGCACCGCCTTCATCGTCTCGCCGTCTCGCAAGATACGCGGCTTCGTGAGGATCTGCGACCCGTCCGCGGACAGCCCTTTGAGCTCGGTCGCGATCCGCGCCATCGCGGCGGACGACGCCGCCGCCTCAAACGCCACCGCGTCGCCCTTTTCTTTTCTTATCGCCGCCGCCTCCGCGGCGACCGCGTTCGAAGCCTCCTCCTCCGCGAACTTCTCGTCCAGCTCGTCGTCGCTCGCGGCGTACTCGTCCGCGCCGCCCGCGAGTCCGCCCATCGCGTCGTCGGTCTTCTGCAGTCTGTACACCGGCACGGCGTCGCACGCGACGTTCAAAACCATCTGCGCTTTCGCGTCCACCTGATGAATCGTCCGGAATCCCATCGCGCCCGTCAGCTCGTGCGCGCACGCGATCGCGTCCCCGGCCGCTTTCGTCAACGCCGCCGCGCTGTCCACGTGCCCGAACTCGTGCTCCATGAGCGCCGTCTCCAGCAGCGCGACGGACGCGAGCATCGCGTTCGTCGTCGCGCTCGCCGCCGCCGTCGACGGCTTTTGGTTTTGGTTTTGGTTTTTTTGGTTTTTTTGGTTCTCCGCCTGAACCGCCGCCGCGTGACGCTTCGCCTCCGCCAGGTGCGCGGCGCCGTTCCCCGGCGCGTACGACGCGAGCGTCAGCGCGTGCGTCCCCAGCAGCGACGCGCGCAGCGTCGGCGAGCGCCCGGAGAGCAGCCGCTGGTGCACGAGCGACGCCCTGGACGCCCACCACGTCGTCGACGGCGGCGGAACCGCCGGGGTGGACTCGGGCCAAAGTTGGACGCGGCCGGCGGCGCCGCCGCCCGCCGCCGCCGCCTTGGTCGCCGCCTTGGTCGCCGCCGCTCTGACGACCGGCAGCGTCGCGCTCAGCACGTCGACGTCGTCGCCCACGAGCGCTTTAAGGCGCTCCTCGCACGCGTTCCCGAGGAGCGCGCGCGCGAGGTAGAGGTACTGCGGGAGGAAGCACCGCCCGACGAGGTCTTCGCCGTCGAGCGACAGCGCGGTACGCGCGAACTTGTCCCATCGCTCGTCTCTCGTCGTCGTCGCGTCCGCGTCCGCGGCGGCGCCGCCGCGCGGCGCGCGCAGCGGGCACGCGCTCGCGTCTTTCAGCGCCGGTCCGGTGACGTTCACCTGCGTGAACGCGTTCAGCGCGGCGACGCCGACGGCGAGGACGCGGAGCCGATGCGCCGCGAGCTCGACGACCCCCTCCGCGGCGGCGGCGGCCGCCTCCGACGCGATCGCCGCGTCGACGGCGGCGTACCGCCTCGCGGCGTCGTCGTCGTCGTCGTCGCCGCCGTCACACTCGTCGTCGCCGCCGCCGGCGCCCGTGATGAGCGCGGTCGCGGCGTCGCACCGCAGCGCTTCGAGGTACCGCCCGCGACGCACGAGCGTCACGAGCGACGCCGCCGCGCGCGATCGCGCGCTCGCCTTGGCCGGGACGGTCGCCTCCACGATCGCGCGCGCGCTTCCGCACGGGCGCGACAGCGAGCTCAGGAGGAGGTCGCGCTCGAGCGCGACGACTAGCGCCGCGGGGGTGAGCGCGGCGACGTTCTCGGACTTCTTCCACCCGCCCTGCGGCTGCGCGGGAGACGCCGCCATCGTCCTCGAGCGGCGCGTGGTCGCGCGAAGTGACGGCGCGACGAGGTCGGCACGTCCGTTGTGAACTCGCGTCGCGACGGCGCGGCCTTCCAGACGTGACTATTTCTTCGAGGGATCTGAGCGTCGCATCGCGCGCCACTCCGTCGACGCGCCGGGCGGCGACCTCGGGTTCGCCCTCCCTCCCCGGGCGCGATGGACGAGATCCTCGCGCTCCAAGCGCAGCTCGCGAGCGCGCAAGACGCGAAGAGCTCCTTCCGTCTGAACGAGCGCAACGTCATCGAGCTCGTGGGAAAGCTCAAGAAGCTGGGCTACCTGGACGACACGCTGATGCACACGCTCGACGGGAAGGAGTTCGTCACCGTGGAGCAGCTCAGGAAGGAGATCGCGGAGGAGGTGCGCGCCTCCGGCGGGCGCGTGCCCGTCTTCGACCTGCAGAGCGCGCTGAATATCGACGTCCATCACTGCGAGCGCGAGGCGAAGTTCCTCGCCGCGGACGCGACCGCGGGGCTGTCGCTCGTCGAGGGCGAGCTCATGACCCCGGCGTACTTCGACGGCGTCGCCGCGGAGGTGGAAGAAGAGCTCCGCGAGCTCGGCGTCGTCGCCGTCGCCGACCTCGCGCGCGCGCACGGCCTGAGCGCGGATCTCATGTCGAGAGCGCTCCGCGAACGCGTCGGCGACGGCGGAATCGTCTCCGGCAGGATGGAGGGCGGTCTCTTGTACACGCCCCAGTACGTCGCGCGGATCACCGCGCAGCTGAGAGGCGCGATGCGCGCGGCGCTGACGCCGACGACGCGCGACGCGCTCGTGACGAACGCGCTGCGCGGGTGCGACGGCGACGGCGACGGCGGCGACGGCGGCGGCGGCGGCGTCGGCGACGGACGCGGCACCGGCGCGGAACTCACCGGCTCCATCGTCGGCGAGCTCGGGAAGAACGTCGACGCGAGCGGGCTGGACGGGGTGTTCCAGCGCGGGGCGTGGCAGCCCGCGGCGTACTCGCGCGCGCAGACCGCGGCGGTGGGGGATTTATACGCCACCGCGGGCATCGTGACGATCGACCAGGCGACGCGCATGGGCGTGGAGAGACCGAGAGAGTACTTCGAGGCGCTGGATCCGACCGCGACGCGCTTGGACGCGTCGTTCGTGTCCGCGAGCGTCGTCGAGCAGCTCGACTCCGCGGTGTGCGAAGCGCTCGGGAACGACGGGTGGTGCGAGTGCGACGTGTTCATCCCGCCGGACTTGCCGAGCGGCGACGCCGGCGCGCTGTTGGCGGCGACGGCGACGGTCAAGTCCGGCGGCGGCGGCGGCGGCGGCGGCGGCGGCGTCTCTCGGGTCGGCGACCTCGGCGTCGCGACGAGGGCGTACCTGGATAAGATCGGCGCGCGCGCGAGGGAGTTAGGCACCGAGGCGGGGATCGCCGCGGCGAAGCGGCGGCAGCTCGAGGCGAGCGTGAAGGTAGGCGGCGGCGAGACCGCGGAGAACGCCGGGAAGAGATCGAAAAAGAAAAAGGGCGGCGGCGGCGGCGGCGGCGGCGGCGGCGGCGGCGGCGGCGGCGGCGGCGGGCGGCGAGGCGCGGACGACGACGACGACGGCGACGCGGACGCTTTCGCGATCACCGCGGACGACCTCGAAGAAGACGACGACGACGGAGGTCGCAAGCGCGGCGGGAAGAAAGGCAAAGGCGGAAAGAGAGGAGGAAATAAGGGTGGCGGCGGCGGCGGCGGTGCGGCGGCGGCGACCGCGGCGGCGACCGCGGCGACGACCGCGGCCGCCGAGGAGGACGACGACGACTGGAACGTCGACGTCCTCGCCGCTGAAGTCGCGAGGTTGACCCCCGACGCGTCCGAGACGTTCTGTCTCGACGTCGCGAAGCGCGCGTGGCCGAGCGCGACCAGAGCGCGCGTCGACGCGATGAAGGCGGCGTCCGTCGCGGGCGACGACGCGAGGAGACGCGCGCGCGCGCGAGCGGCGGCGGCGTGCGACGAGATGACCGCGCGCGCGCGAATGTTCACCCGCGGCGCGGAGCTATTACCGGACGACGCCGCGTCGCAGCGGCACTGCGCTAAGACGCACGTCGTCCCGCTCGTGGACGCGTTCTTCCGCGCGCACGCGGACGCGGATCTGGACGACGCCGCCGCGGCCGCCGCGGCCGCCGCGACGTCGACGTCGACGTCGACGTCGACGACGTTCGCGGAGCTCTCCCCGAAACAGCGCGAGATGGCGGCGAACTCGATGCCCAAAGACGCGAGGTCGCTCGCGCTGACCCTCGCGACGGAGGCGACGTCGTGCAAGTCCCCCGGCGCGATGTTAAAGGCGCTGGACGACCTCGCGGAGGCTCTGCGCGCGCGTCTCAAGCCGCACGATAAAAAGGCTGAACGCCTCTTGGCGCGCGCGCACAAAAAGACGATCGAGGACTCGCTCGCGACGTGCGTCGATCCCGCCGCGGCGCTGCTGCTCGCGGTGCCGCTCGCGTTTTCGAACGCGAAGAACCGCGCGGTGGCGATCAACGGGCGCGGCGTCGCGGCCGCGGTGAGGTATCTGAGCGAGGACGCGAGAGCGCTGAGCGAGGACGACGCGTCGTTTTTGAAGACGTTTCACGCCGACGTCGCGGCGTCGCTGGCGGGTCCCGCGGGTCCCGCGGGAGCGGAAGTTGGAACGTCAACCGGCGCGCGAGAGACGGAGGGCGGCGAGAGTTTAGAGGAGAGACTTCCGGAGTTGAGAAGGATCGCGATGGAGGCGAAGAAGGCGAAATCGGGCGGGGGAGAGGAGGAGTGATACCGTACACGTAGCGGTTGTTACCTCGGCGTAATAATCTGTCTGTTTTCGCGGGCCAGCCCGTGACGCTTGACGGACGCCGCGCGCCCGGGCTAGCCCGCTGTCGCGCGGTCGTTGGGAGCGACCTGACGTCACCTCACCGACTCGCTTTTCCGGATCGCCGGCACTGTACTCGGCGCAGAGGGACCGCGGCACGCGTTCGGGTCTTCGCGCAGATATCTTTCGTCATGAAGGTCGCGTTCAAGACACTGTGCGTTCGCGCCCGCCACCGCGCGCTCTCCGCGTCGCCGTCGCGCGTCGCGTCGCCGACGATCATCTTTCCCGACGGGAGGGGTCCCATCGCATCGTCTGAGAAAGAGCGCCGAGATCTGGGCTCATCCCGCGCCCCGATCACCTCCCCGCCTCCCCCGCTTCGCGCTCACCCTCGTCCCCGCCGATCCTCCCCCCGCGCGCAGAACGAACCAAAAGTTC